TAATTAACCCAACCCGACGCCTTGAACGGCTAAGGGTAGAGAAGAAATTTTAGTATTAAGTCTAAAAGAAACTTCTCGACAACTCATCATACTAAGGGGAATATTATGGCTAGCTCGATTCAAACGGTAGTCGATAAAGGCTCATCAAATCCGTTGATAGCTGAGTGTTTGCTAAAAATCCTAGTTGGCGATCATTAGCTGCGACTGAAGAGTTTAATTTTGTCGAGCTCGTTGGAAGGCTCCTCACTCTGTCTGAATGGGGATCATTCTACAGGTCTTAGTATTCCAGACCCCAAGCAACCCAGTTTCGGTCTGAAAACTTTAGAGGGGGGTTTTGTAGGCAATAAAAATTACACTTATCCCTGCACAATAACTTGGAACAAGCAAAAGAGCTCAACGGTCCATCTGAGTGAAGTCGGGTCCACCCGAGCGAAGTCAAACCCACCTAAAAGTCAAGTTCGCCTGAATGCTTGACTTCACAAAATAGATAAAAACACTGATATCTCTCAAATCTAAGGGAATTTGGTGAAACTAACGGTGCAAACCAAACTTTGATTGGTTTGGTTGGCCCCGTCTCGTCGAGATAGTCGATTTTTATATATAATTCGTCCAAATCCGACTTACGGCTTGAAAATTATGACTTGTTATTCGTAGTATGTTCTGAAGCTCGCCTGAAGAGCAAGCTCGCTTGCAAAGGAGTTTAGCTCGCCTGAAGGCTTGAAGCTTTAAGTTTGCCTAAATGAGGCTGGCTCGCCTGTACATCCTCGCCTACCAAGCTCGCGTGAAGGTCAAGCTCGCCTGATAGCTGGAAGCTCGCCTGCATAAGCTAAGCTCGTCTGACAGCTTGAAGCTTACCTACATGATCTAGGCTCGCCTAACAGTTTGAAGCTCGCATACATGATCCTAGCTCACCTACATAGGCCAAGCTCGCCTGACATAGGCCAAGCTCGTCTGACAGCTGGAAGCTTGCCTGCATGACCCAAGCTCGCCTGCACACTTGAAGCTCACCTGCATGCTTGAAGCTCGCCTGCACAAGGCAAGCTTGCTCGCAAGCTTGCCAAGTCCACCCACTTGAGGCATGAGAGAGGTTACTTCCTACAATTTAAGGGAATGATTATGATTCTCCTCATGACCATACCCAATATGGGAATGATCACTTCCCACGATTTAAGGGATTGGTCATGATTCTCCTCATGGCCATACTTAGTATGAGAATAGTCACTTCCCATGATTTAAGGGAGTGATTACACTCTCCTTCTTCTCTATAAAAGGCCATGAGAAGCCATAGAGAAAGGGTCTTAGGACCTGACGTCTTTGATGGCAAATTTGAGAGATCTCAAGACCACCTTGGACTTGAGATCCGTTTTGTTCTTGGCACGTCGTTGGTGGAGCATTGTTCTTTGGAGATCAAACTTCTTGTCATTCAAGAAGACCGAATTCGTGGCATCTTCGGCCCACAAGCACAAGCACTTGTTTGGCCTCGATTGATCGAACTCATCCAATCAAGCTTCTACTGCGTACCGAAGCTTGCCCACAACCTCGTTCGGATCGTCTAAAGGAAGCAAACTCGACGTAGCATTCGAGGGAGGCGTCCTATCACTACCGAAGAATCCATGTTAAACAAGAAGAGCTCTCTTCGCTTATGTTACAATTTGATTTCTTGATTTGTAATAAGCAATTCTTATTAATACAAATCTCCCCTTTCGGAAATCAATTTTTATGCCGAACAGTGCCAAATCAAGATCCAGAACACCTAAGTGAAACTAAACTTGTTCAGACCATCCAAGAAAATTAAGCCCATTGAACTTTACAATAAACGAAGCTTGCGAATGAAGAGAAACAAGAGCAAATGCTGCAAATAGATAGAATGCTCGTATATTAATGCTTTGAGTCATAAATACAATCACATAATATAGATTCAGATAACAGTCACAAAAACATAAATGTACATTGAAGTTCTCCTTTCGGTGATACAACAATGCATGATAATAAACATAATTGATTATTATTATTATTATTTTAAATTTCACATAATTAACAATTAAATACATTCCAATTAGACATGCTCGTAATCTTTGGATGTACTAAACATATCCAACCAAATATATTAATTAACCACTATAATGTTCATGATTATAAAATAACTAATCAACATTTGGGCGATCCATAAATATTTTATAATCAATGAACTTCAATATACCCATTACAAAGAAAATATTTATTATCATGTCATCTTATTAATAACATCACATAATCATGGGTAATTGAATTTTAATTAATTTGACATCTATAAAAACATTCTAATTTGGCCACTTCGGTGGCTAACAAATTATTCATAATATAGACATCAAATTAAATAATGATATTATACAACGTAACAAATTATTCAAAAGCAGTAAGTTGGGCGGGATTATATTTCTAACCATTTAATATTTGCTACTTGTGAAATATCATACAACTTAAAACATTATTATTATTATTATTTAATTAAAAACATTATGGTACGTTTTAGACATTGAAACTGTAAACATTGCAATCTCTAAGCATTATTTTGTGTAGTATGAGTTAATTCAAAACTAATTAAGAGAGAATTAACATGATAAGGTCCCACTTAATTAAGAAAATAAATCAAAACATTCTAGCATTCTAATGGCATATAAACATGAATTACTTAGTAATTAGAGTGGAGACAAAATTGCATATACTTAGTGATTATAATATACCACCAACAATACTACTCAAAATAAAATCATAAATGCTAATAGACATTCATGGAAAATCATATGTTCTAAAACTAAAACCTGAGCTCTGATACCAAATGTAAACTTTAATTTTGCCTTTAAATTATCTAAATCAAAATCTTAATAATTACATCCATACTTAATTAAGATCTTAGAACTATATGATTATCACATGCATAACAATTAAGGAAAAGACATACCTTGGTCCATATTAGTGGCAAATGATTGGGCACAAGAGCCCTTTTGAACAAACAGAGAATCTCTCTCTTGAACCTTTATTTAGCAATCTTTATTGATTCTTTTCTTGATGGAGAGAAAAGATTCCATAAAGGTTGGAGAGAGGACCCGTTTCAAAAATAAATCATCTTAGGGGCTGTTCGTTTGGCCATTTTTTTTGGGAAATCAAAGAATAGGAAAACTATTTCCTATAATATTTGTTTTGAGGTTGTTTGGTTGGTTTAAAAAAGAAAGAAATTGTAGAATAGGACATAAGATGAGATGAGTTGTCAACTTATTATTGGATGATGTGAGTGATTTTAAAAAAAATTGTTTTGAGGTTGTTTGGTTGGTTAAAAAAATAAGGAAATGAATTGGAGGTATATTATTGAATGATGTTTTGAGGTTGTTTGTGTTTGGTTCGTTTTTAAAAATAGAAAAATTGATGAGATGAGATGAGTTGGAGGTATATTATTGGATGATGTGACACGTACTTAAGGAAACCAATTTCTTGTTTTTTTTTTGAGGAAATGGATGGAAATGAATGTTTAATGAGATGAGATGAGTTGTCACAATATTATTGGATGATGTGTGTGATTTTTAAAAATGGGATAAGATGAGTTGTGATGAGTTGGATGATGTGACACATTTCTTGTGTTTGGTTTATTTTTAAATGCAAGAAAGGAGATGAAATGAGATGAGTTGGAAGATAAAAATAATTTTTTATTAGATGTTGTGGGTGAGTTTTAGGGATGGAAATGGGTAAAAATATTATTTTATTGATTTCCTTGTACCGATTTCCTTTTCTTGATTTTTAGGAAACCAACCAAACGGGCCCTTATATAACCCTCATACCATCAATGAATGGTTAATATAACTACTCCCTCTTCTCTTGACCAATGGGATTTAGACAAGTGGTCCAAGAAGTTAGGAATGACTCACATGGACCACAATAAAATATTACTTCTATATAATAAAGTTTCTAACATCGTTCACACACAATAAAAGTTCAAACAAATAGTCTCACTTTGCTTAGGTTCAGGAGCACAAGAGAGAAAATAACAACAAGAAGGATGAAGCGTTCATCCCAAATTATTGGGGTTGATTAATCTTATTTTTTTCATTCTTGTCTATTTTAGCTTATTTCCTTTGTTAAATTAACTATTATTATATATTTTTAAATCATTTTCAATCAATTCTCACAAGTGTACATTTAGATCTCTTTGCCCTATTAAATATAATATTACCATTTCTTCTAATCGGTGCAAACCAAGATAAAGGAGGAGGATTGCATTGTGAAAACACAGTCGGATCTACATGGCATGAAGCAAATTAGAATATAAAATAGCATATTTGTTAAAGTTCAAGATATCATGAAATTATTTGATAGTTTTAATCTGAGTAAATATATTGCGAGAGAAAGTTAGATATGATGAGCTATTACCCAATGAGCTAGTTAACATTACTTTTTGGGCTGGAATTAGCTTGATTGAGCAAGACGTGACAAATTATTGACCAATGTCCACCAGTATCCAAGCAAACACTTTAAATTATTTGTGTAAGAAAAGGGGTTATTTTCATATATGCCCCTTAAATCATTGGTACTTGCAAAAATGCTCTCGACATCTCTCTATTTGCAAAACTACCCCTCAAATCATCAACTTTGGGAAAAAATACATTCAAAGCAATTAATCATTAACTTTGATAAACTAATTTGTGTGTAAAATCATCAACAAAATAGTCAAATTTTTATCACTAAGTTGAAGATTTGTTGATTTTAAGGGTATTTCCCCCCTCAAATTGATGATATGAAGGGTAATTTTGCAAATACTAAGATTTAGGGGAATCTATGGCAATAGCCATGATGTAAGGGTAGATATGCAAATAACCCAAAAAATCCCAACGAATACATGAAAATGATGGAGGGACAAGATTCATTCATAGTACAATCCCTTAACTCCATGCGACACACAGCAGAATCCAGTGATCTTTTTAATCAGACGGTCCACCTTGATTGCACTTCCAGAATTAGATTATACTAATAACCACCTCAGCTTCCTCAGTACCGCCATCAAGCAACTCCTCACAGAACGCAAAACCCTAGAAATGGCGAAGGATCGCAACGGATCCGTACCGAAAGACGAAGGCGGCGACGACGACGACGAAGATCTCAAGGACCATCATCGAATATCCAAGAGGAAGAAGGACGAGAGAAGCGACGAAGAATCCAGCGACTCCGGCGATGATCGGCACCGGAGAAGAAACAAGAGGAAGAAGAAGAAGAGGAGAAGCAGAAGCTATGAATCCCCTTCTTCATCCGAGTCGGATTCGTATTCGGAGTCTGAAGGATCCGATGAGGGATCCGCATCCGTTAGCTCGGGTTCGGATTCTGAGGAGATGAGGAGGAGGAGGAGGAGAGAGAAGAGGAGGAGGAGAGAGAAAGAGTACGAAAAGGAGAGGAGGAGGAAGAAGGAGAAGAGGAGGAGAGAGAAAGAGGAGAAGAGGAAGAAGAAGAAGAAGGAGGAAAAGAAGAAGAAGAAGAAAGAGAAAGATAGAGGGAAGAAGGGCGCAGTTACAAATTCTTGGGGAAAGTATGGAATTATTAAAGAGACTGATATGTGGTTAGTGATTTTATTGTGTAAAATTGAATTTCTTTTGTTCTATCCTCTTCAAATTTTGGGTTTTGAATTTAAATATGATACATTAACTGGTAGATTGAGTGTAGGGCATTGAGCATGGTAAGAATGATGGTTTGAATTTCATTTCTCAGAATTATACAATTGTTTGAAGCATGTGAAATATCTGTAATGCTCTTTTACTTAATGATGTTTGCTATCTAAGTTTTCCCCCTTCTATCCTTTTGTAGGAATAAACGACCTGAGTTCACTGCATGGCTAGCAGAAGTGAAACAGGTATTTTCTTAAGCAGTTGCACTTATTTAGAGGACTGATGTACTACTTTTCATAATTTGCTATGTGAATGAAAGGACTGTTTGTTGATTTTCTTATGCTTTGATCGAATCATCGATATGCAAGGTAGAGATAGTTGCATCACACTGTTGCTTTTAAGTTAGCTTAATTGTAGGTTAACAACAGCTCTTTAAAAACCCCATTTTGGTGTCATCTATTCAGTCAAAAGAAAATTTCTGTCAATATGTTGCTATGCATTATTGACCAGTAGCAGCACAAGGATGTACAGTCTTGCATAGTTGACCATGTGCTATCTATCCTGAAGAGTATTGTTTTACAATTGATGAAATTCTTAATAGTTTGCTATTAGCGAGTTTCTTAGTTGGGACGTGCTTCAGTTTTGATGCGTGAATATCCATGTATAAAAATGAGCTTGTTTTGTGTGGATACTTCATGAAGACACGTCCTGAGCAATTTTTATCCTTTTTACTCTGATGTTCTCGAGTGCTATCAGTTGCTTAGGTTTCTTTGTGTACCTTCTACCTCAATTTTGGGTACACTTGGGGATTATTGAATCCGTCATTTCGTCTAGGATATTTCATTTACTTGTAATTTCCTGGCTTCAACTTAGATAATGAATATTTTGATTCTTCCGTTGATTCTATTTATATTTCCTGTATCTAATGGAACATTATTGGCCGATATTTGGATCTGGAAACTAACATTTTAAAGAAATTTGTGAATATTCTTTTGAACATTCAGATATGATCTTCTTAAATTGCTTTATTTCTTACTTTGTAGGCATCTTGAATGGTAAAATAATTGAGCAATACCTCTGAAATTTCTTGGATTTTTTTCTACAGATCAATCTGGAAACATTAGCAAACTGGGAAGAGAAGCAAATGTTTAAGGAGTAAGTTATATAAATGCCAACATTTTATTAGCCTGATTGTACTTTCTAGTAAAGTTATTTTTATAAAATATTTGGGAATCAAGTTAAAGGTGCAATCAATTTGCTAGTGCAAATGTGCAGTTATTTTTAAATATGCCTTGACATCCTCTTTCTTTTGTGTGCAGATTCATGGAGGATCACAATACAGCTACTTTCCCATCCAAAAAGTAAAGATCTACTCAGTAGTTTGCCGATTGATTATTTAGTATTAGGGGATTTTGTATTCTACTCTGCTCTTATAAGACCATTTAATTTACACATGATCTAAATCATTTAAAATATGTATAAAAAAATGTTTTCATGACTTTTTTATGTCCATATATGGGATCATAATAATGGTCTAGTGAGCTGGTTGGTTTTTATGTTTTAAAATATTCTAAACCTAAGATGATTAGAAAAGGGGTTTCATTATTTAGATTGAGATGAGTGATACATTACTAATTTTGAAGCTCCATACCATAATTTATTCAAACTTGTTTTTTATCTGTTAATTTTGTAAAATGGTGATCCATAGGAAATCACCTTTTATTATTATTATTATTATTATTTATTTTATGTTTGCTTGTAGGCTATTTATATATCAGGGATAACCTTTGGTGGAATTTAAATTTTGATAATCAAACATATATATTTTCGCTTGATAGGATCTAAGGTCAAATCCTACTTGTAGGATCCTTGTCAATGTTTGTACACTTACCTATATAGAAACATATACACAATTACGTATATACATATATAATTACATAAATACATATAATGATGTCAATATAACGAGATACCTACAGCAATGCTAGTGAGCCTAGTGTATTCTCTCTTCCAATCAGTTTGCCTGTTTTAATAAGGGAGATGAACATCCAGTTTATGAAATTTCTTTTGTGTGAGCACCTCACAAAACACAAGGAAAACATATTTAACCCATGATCAATTTGGTTCATTTATTCTATTATTGAAATAGGAATCTATGATTAACTTTTCCCGAAAAAAACTTTTCTAGCTTATATCCCACAATCCCCAACCCCTGGTTTCAGGAATCGGATGTACATATTTTTCTAGCTTATATCCCACAAACCCAACCCAACACAAGCATGTACACACACAGATTGCCGCTGCTTGCTTCATTTAAATTTTGAGGGAGGTGACTTTTTTACGTAAGTTTGCTTCAGTAAAATTTTGAGGAAGGTGACTTTTTAACGTTTGTCTTTGACCAAATTTAACAAGCGAAAAAGCTACTTCCACGCAAAGTAATTTTTTTTAATACAATTAAGTGAAAGTTAACTATATGCAATCCATAATGGCTATGCAGATTGGCAAAAGAAACTATGAGTAAGAAACTGTGAAACATGAGATGCCTGCTATCACCATTTAAGCCATATTGAAACTCAAACAACTAACTCACAAAATGTTGCTGGATGGGCCATGTAAGCTGTTGTCTCTCATTGCAAGTTTAAATATTTGTTGATTGTATTGACTTTCATGTTTATTCTAAATTGCCTCATATTGTTTTTATGGCAGGCATGATAACCATGATTCTTAAATTCTTAAACTTTGAAAAGAGCAGCTTCCTTTTAAAGTCAGATCTATGTAATGCCTTTGTTTACCATCACTAATCATTTGATGAAGTATAAAACAATAAAGGAATATTCTTTTGTAAATTGAGAGATTGAATCCTGCATTCTATTTTAAGTCTTTTGACATGATTTTGACTAGAAAGCCTCAAAAATTTTTATTCAAATTGGGTGTTTAGCTTAAAAATTCAGTTCCAAAGGTTTTAAAAAATTCAGTTTCAAAGGTTAAAACCATGACATCTAGACAGTTAATAATGAAGAAGATATGACATCATTGAAGCTTGATTCTCATTTACTAGTGATGGCAAAATTGAAACTTATATTGTAATTTGTTTGTGTGTTCCGTATTTCTCTACAAATTGATTTCTTAAATTTTTTCTGACAGATACTATGATTTAGATGCTTATCATCATCGACAGATGGAGAAGGAAATGAAAAAGGGTCTGAAGAAAATAACAGAAACAGAAAGGACAGTTTTCAATGATGAAGAACAACGTCGGTATGAAAACTTAATCTTTCTCTCTCTAACTATTATCTATTTAGTATATGTTTTGTGTGCATGTGTGTGTGCATGCATTGCATGTATGCCTGAAATTGTTGTGTACCTTTGTTTAAAATCAAAGTAGAGCTTGTTGGCGAGTAAAGCGACATAATGGATTGTATTGTTATTATTATTATTTTTGTTAATGAATAGATACCTTCCTAGTTTACAACTTGCATGTTGGGAGATAGAGAACATGCACCTTTGACTTCCTAATAGAGCATTGCCGTTATTCTTTATGACACATGGAAAGACCTGGTTGCATTTCTTTGATATTGAAGTGAACATGTTCTGTATCAAAGCCTAAGTATGTTCTCTAACAAAGTGCAGGTAACATAGAGTTACAGTTGATACTGTGATACTCAAACTGATATCTGTTAGCAGGATCTGATTTACCGTGGAATCAACCTGGTTTAAGTAGGATCTCAACTATTGATAAAGAACTTACTAAGATCTTTACTATAGATGATATTTCTCAGGAATCAAGCAGAATCTTCCCAGCTTTAGCCACAAGTGGAAACATCTGCAATTTTTTCATTGTGCTCATACTCTTGTCATGATGTTACTCCACTTACAAATGACAGCTTGGTATCTGCATTAGCAACTTAGGCGCTAAAAACAACTCAGATGAGAAGCAATCACAACGTCCACAGCAACTCTGTGCATCAGCCAAGGGCATCAAGATACGGGAGAGGATATAGCCTAATAACAATTAGGGGGTTAGAAAACTTAAAGGCCAGGGAAGAAAGGAATGAGGGAAACTCTCAAAGAGAAGTAAGCTGAATGAGGTAAAACAGAAGGTAGACGGGGAAAGTAGGTTTCAGTCAGCGGAAAGAAGAAACCCCCCCCCCCCCAACCCACCCACCCACCATGTTGCAGACCTTTTCGCCACTGATCTTTTGATTTTTACTTATTAGAATTTTAATTTGTTGAAAACCTTGCCATCATCCATTATAGCTTTCTTTCCCCTGTTTCTCTTCTATTTCCCTTCTGGGTTTTGGGAAAATATTTTGGATTTCAGAGTTGCTTACTGTTTGCACTAGTCTTGCTCATGCCATCTGTGTCCTTTATCTGCTCTTCCTGAACAGGGCATCAATAAGGCTATTGTCTCCTGATTGAAGTCCAGTTATCAATTGATTTAGATTTTGCTGATATGCTTTGACTTCATTATAATGATATGGCTAGTGCATATATGACTTGCCTGATTGGTAGAGTTGACTGTTAGACCAATCAATTCATTGTGTGTGCGTCAAGTATCTATAGATATGTCAAGTATCTATAGATACTTCCCTCCTTCGATAAAATTTATCTGCATAAAGATACTTCCCTCCTTTAATAAAATTTATCTGCATACTTTGGCTTTAAAGATGCCAGCCTGAGAGCTGCAGGAACAGTTTATTTATTTATACAAAAGGTTATTATCACATTGTTTTAACTAGTAAGTCTGCTCTGACATTTGATGAGGTGAAGGCATTTATTTAGTGACACATGTACCCCGAAAATGGAGTCATATATCTGTCTCTCAAGGGTTATATTTATTATTAGTATTATCATTATTATTATTTTGATAAATTATATTTAGTATATACAGGGATCACATCATCACTCTAAAGAAATCTACCTTTCATTCTAATTTTTTTATGATTTATATTGCTTAGTGTATGATCTTAAACTTTAAACATATGCACTCAAATGACTTCTAAGAGCTATATATTTCTCCTTGCTTTTGCTTATTTCCTCCGCGAACTTGTATATTTGGATTATGTCAACTTGTATATCTGGATATTTTATTTATATTATTCCCATTGTCATCTAGTAACTGATCGAATACATAATGAGTGAAAAATCTCAACCAAAATTTAGAATATACTCACTTATTGTAATTTAGAGTAAGTTTTCTTTAGAGAAATACTATTTTAAAATAGTTTAAAGAAGACTTTCAAAAAACAATTTCGAAAATGCCTTTGGACATCCGCAGACCAACCAAGTAGCCTATGGCACCGACTGATTTGCACTCATGGTGATGGTGACATTTTTATTTTATTTTTTGGTCTTCTCAAAATTCCTTGGCTGGGGACTCCCGAACTGAATTGAGTTGTCTAGAGTCATCAACAAGACGTGAAACCAGGTTTAGCTACTTCATATCTTTAGTAGTCAAAAAGCTTTGGATCCATGATCATGGATCTTAGATCTTTTCTTTCACTTCGTGAGAATCCCCCAAGACTAATACATTGGCCCTTTTTGTTTTATGTGATCACCCATGTGGGAGCCCAATTACAATGTTCCACGTGCATCTAGGATCCGTTGCTATGAGCTAAGGTAAAGAATGATCTCGAGCTGGCGTATCCATCTTTTTGAGTGTCATATTTAAGGATCTAAGTAGAGGCCCTTTTCCCCCACTGGGTAGAAGTTTAGAGCAAAACTAGATTTATTTTGTTGTGTGAGAGCGATGCAGGTTTCACGAAGATTGGGATAAAAATTGTGGAATATATGTAAGTACATTCTCACATATAGACCTGGTCATAGATTCAATCAAAATTATTATGAAATCTATTAAATTTTGAAAGGAACAAAAAAATAAAAATAAAAACCAGTTATGTATCTTTTCTTTAACAGAAAGTTATGAACCTCCCAACTATACGTTAGAAACTTTAAACTGTTACAATACATCGTAATTACCTTCAGTATGTAATCTGGTCCAATATTTAGTTTAAAATATATAAATATATAAATTTATTCTTGTACTCTACAGCCATATGATTTTTAGGACTGTACCCATTTTTATTAGGTACTTGCTATAAAAAATTAATCGGAGTCACTATTAAGATGTTTTAGTTTGTTGTAATTTCCGTTGCAAGTTAAGACATTATACTTGTTCTATATCGGTAAGCCAATTAACAAAAAGTTTGTTGTGTAGTGGTAGAACAGAAATGAGGGAAAAAAGAAAACTAGACTTGAACTTAGGACTCCCAAATTTTCTCTCTTTCAAGACTTACCATTTGAGCTGAAAACCTTGTACCTCTTTGTTTATTAGATACAATAGTTTTGAACTAATTGATAGATGTGAGTAGAAACATGACAACATCGTATTACATTTAAATTTTGGAAAAATCTAGTTGGGTATCCAAGCTCCCAGAGTCCCTATGTGGACCATACCCTGGATCCAACTTTGGACCAACTGATTTTGGATTTGGAGTCACTAACCCCTACATCAGTACAAGACATACAAAAAGAAAAATGTCTTGTATATAACCTCATTTCTCGATTAAACATGACAAAAATGTGCTTAGATGGAGTATTTTTCGAATCTAATGGGGACCTTTGATGCATAGATCGAGTATATCCTTTATCCATAAATACGAAGTAAGTTTAATATTATCTTATTAAATGACATTCATAGTGATGTTGATTTTCATTTTCTGTTGTCCAATAACAGAAAGGTAAATCAAATTTAAAAACACAAGGACATGTTGGTAATTATACAAAATGCTTGTACATCCTACAAAATGTTATGGTTCCATGCTTGAAGATCCCATTTTTCATTTCTAACTGAAGCTGGTGCATGCTGTTTCCAATCTTAGAAATAAGAAACTGGATTATGTTTATGAAGAAGAAGAAGATGATGACGTGTGTGTGCGTGCATGTGTTGTGTGTTTTTGACTGGTGATGTTTAATTGGCATGTTTGCAGACTAGAGTTGCAGAGAGAGCGGGAAAAACATAAAGAGGAACAAGTAGAGGCTTTGAAGTGTTCGATGCAAAGCGGAATGGTAAGAATAAAGTTTATTTAGCTTCTCAACATCATTCCATTTGTGATGAAATGCAGCTCATTTGTTTCCTTGTTATAGTTGTTTTACGTTGGGTCTTCTGTCTCAAAGCACTTGATTGTAGTTTCTTGTTTTCACATCAAGCACAATGTTTTTAGTCATATCATATTGTTTTTTATTATATCACATAGTTGCATATACAAGAGATTAGGATATTCATAGCTGCATTTACAAGTGTATATAAGAGATTAGGATATTCATAGCTGCATTTATAAGTGTATATAAGAGATTAGGATATTCATAGCTGCAGTTACAAGTGACATATTTAATAGATGGAAACTAATTCAATCTAAAAGACTATTTAAGGAACAGCTAGCACCACTTTCGCAAGTGTACGTCTAAAAATAATGGTTTGAAGAAAAACGTGAGTATAAGCATGTTAAGTACTTGAACAAAAATGACGTTTCTCATTCTTTTGGACATATTTTGTGATATAGAATGTCTTCTCTTGTTCATAACCTGAAGTTTCCCCCCCCTGCAAAACTGATTCTTTGCTTCGTCTTGTAGGCACAAGCTATGAAGGAGCAGGCCCGTTTGAAGGAAGAAATGACTTATCAGTATAGACTGGGAAATTTTGAGGTGAGCTTTATACATTTCGAAGATATCTTTTGTATTCGGGAAATAAAGGGTAGCTGAGGTTTTATGTTGTTCCTGTTTAGGCTGCTGCTGCTATCCAGAGAAGATTGGATCCAGATGTGGCTATGTAGGCTCTCTTATTACTTTACCAGATATGAAGGAATCCTATTTTGCTCAATGGATGAGATGTGATATAAAACCTGGCAGGTCATCAGGATAGTTTTCTTCTGCCATGTAATTGTATTAAGACAACACGTGTTTTAAATCGCTGATTGGTTTATCTATTTAAATTGGAATCTCCATGTCCTTGTTTGATGTGATAACTTGGGTTTGTTTCGGAATTATATTTTCATGGAATTTTGTTTTTGAGATTGCCTAGAGATGTGAGCTGTAGTGTTCGGTATCATTCACAATTATTTATCGGGTGCTGATATTTGCTAATCAATGAGGTCATCACGGATCAAAAATGTTGTGGAACTCTAATTTACTTTTGAAGGGATTTTGAGATTTTCTTTTGTTTTTATGTATGATCACAAAATAAACTGGATACAGGGTAAATATATCTATTGCCTGATAACAGATTTTGTTTGACACCAAAGAAAAAGATTCAAGGGCTCCTTTGATATCCGATGATTTCTCTATGCTTTTATCTGTGCTGTGTTTTCTCGACTCTCATGACCTTTCATCAAGAACCCTGGGGTCAAAAATTGCACCAGTCTGAAAGAAGAGTAACAGTTACAGATTGCATATAACAGAGCACTTAAAAAGAATCGTGCAGAAATAGCTTATCGGTACTTTTAGATGATGAGGAAAACTAAAAGAGTGGACAAAGAAGTTTCCCGCTAGAAAAGAAAACAAATGCAAACCACTATAACCACCATTTGTAGCCCTTCTTGACGTTTCAATGCCACGAACTCCATTATAAAAACCAAGAACCAACTAGCGAACGTAAGAACACAAACAGAAAATATATCAGACAACATATCTGCAGACAAAACCTCTTGACCTCTAGTACCAACATAGAGGCCCTCTCAAGTCTCTGTTGATTTCGCCTCACAGCCAGTTACCAGTCCATTTATTCTGTTATTATGGGCAATCGGAACTAAAGAGCTATGCAACACCATCCTCTGTTGATGTTCAAGGCGATGCTTCTTGATACGCAATTCTGATATATACGATCAATGTCTGAAATATCAACATAAATAGGATGGGAGAAAAAACTATCCATGACAAGATGCAGGTTCTAAACTTGAAATATCTAAAAATATTTCATCCAACCGAAAGCTCACAATATTTCGAAAAAGCAGTTGTTTCACCACATCACGCTACCAGTCCATCTACTAAGAAACATGGAGCAATAAAATAGACAGCAATAACAATCACTTTAGATATCCCCAAGCAGAAGTCTTTTATGGCATATACTCCTAGATTTCAGAGTACCAAATAAATAACAGTGATGCAATATACGACGTCAAATAATCGGCAAGAAACATTTTCATCGACTCCAGAAGAAAAAGTGATCATCATATTCATAAAAGGTGAGGACTCATATTTGTTCACCTAAATTCCGCCTACTCAGAAAGAGTTGATTTGAGCTCCCCATTGTTATACAGTTCCAGTATAATATCACAGCCACCAATCAGCTCACCTTTGTAGTACAGCTGAGGAAATGTTGGCCAATTTGAATAAGTCTTCAGTCCTTGCCTAACTTCCTCATCACTCAGAATGTCAAACGACCCAAACCTAACCCCTTCCTTCTTAAGCGCATCCACTACCTTTGAGCTAAAACCGCAACGAGGAGCATCAGGGGTGCCCTTCATAAAAAGCATTGTACTCGATGCTGAGATGAGATTCTTAAGCCTGTCCTCAAGTGTCTCAGATGGAAGTATCCCTTTCTCAGCTAAAACTTTCTTCAGTTCACCACTCTTTTGCATCTCCAGCACTATATCAGATCCCCCAATTAGCTCACCTTTTATATAAAGTTGCGGATAGCTAGACCAGTTAGATAACACTTTGAGCCCCTGCCTCACTTCATCATCAGAGAGAATATCAAAGGACCCAAATGTAATCTTTTCTTCCTTAAGGATTTCAACGACTTTTCCACTAAAGCCACACTTAGGCTCCTCTGGTTTACCTTTCATAAACAACATGACAGGGCTTGAAGCGATTAGGGTTTCAAGGCGAGAACTCAAGGCAGCACTCAAGCCTGAGGCGTCAGAGATACCCCCGCTCTTTGCTGAGCCCTTAGTTTCTTTGGAAATAACAGGAATTCCATGATCTATGAATACATCCTTCAATTCTTCACTTTCATGCATAGCAACTATAATGTCACAGCCACCAACAAGTTCTCCTTTGCAATAAAGCTGGGGAAAAGTAGGCCAATTTGAAAATTGCTTCATTCCTTCTCTCACCTCGTTGTCAGTCTCTTCCAAAATATCAACCACTTCCTGCTGAAGCCACACCTTGGGGTGCACAGAGGATGTTCTCCATAAAATTAAAACCTTGGGCTGCTCAGGAGTTCCTTTCATAAATAAAAACACATGGTGAGAGTGCACAAGCTGCTGAAGTCGGTTCTTCAGTGAGTTTGAAAGTCCTGAGCTTGGAGTTACGGAGTGGGAGGATCCGTTATCCTTTGCTAACTCTTTAACTGTTTCAAGAACTGCAGGTCCAGCAGCCAATCCTAGACTCGCTGGTGCAGCTGATTTTGCATTGTCAGCAGATCCAACAATTTTTGCGACTTTGTTAGCCAAACTAGACGGATTTGCACCCTCCAGTGTGTCAACGGTTTTACCATCCTGAAAAGGGGAATAAAGAGGAGAATGGATTTGTCAATATTCTGAAGCGACAATGTGACGTGGATTAAAATGCATGGTCGATAAAAACAAGGATAATAGGGAACAATGAGAAATATAGGTGAAACGTAAATGCCAGATTTCTGTCGAGACAACAATAGTGACAACCTAAATGCTAGACTTCTAAGTAAAACAATATTGAGAACCATTTAAGGTGGAAGGATCTTTAGAAATTATAAAAGATTGTTGGCTTTCAAGGAAGAGCCTCCAAAGTAGGGAATCCAGACTTCACAAAGAGCATGTATAATACTGCATTAAATAAAAAGTGTTAGAAACCATTTAACTACTGATCAAAACACATGTAATAAAATTGAGTTAGGGCATACTAGATTTGAGTAGCCACGTCATTTAGCAAATGAGCAACCAAGAAATAAGAATGGTGAGGTTCACATCTTCCGATGTCCCTGTTTTTCTTTTCTTTTTCTTTTTTTTTTTTGGCTCCTTGAGAAGCAGGAACACATGCAGATTCACCAAAAACTCCCCGACTCTACCCATAGAAACCCTGAAGTCTCCTTGCAATAATTAGACTTATCTCTAGTTAACTATTTAATTAGATAATACTTATCTATTTAGGATATATTGAAAAAGATATATTAATTATTTAATGGTTAGCATTTTCGTCTATTAATTTATGATTTGTTTAAGTTTTATGTGATTTGGCCATATTAGAGTTATTTGCTAATCAATAGAGCCTTATATGAGTGGGGAGATCCCTAATCAGTACTTCACTGTTTATTGGTCGACTATTGATTTGTTCCTGAGAATTCAGACTTAATGGCTGAGTACTTGAGTTTCTCCCCTTCTCTCCCAAATTTCATCTAGAAAATTCCTCCTCTCCTCACAAGTTTTCACATCACAATCTCAAGTTCCTGCAAAGTGTCATAAACCCATGGAACTCTGTAACTATTCATAAGTCTCCAGTCTTCCCTTCTACCGAAGTTCTATACATTCTCTTAAACTACTTAGTAGTTGTGCATCTATTTAATGATATCTTCCGATTCCTTTAATAAAAAATGAGGACCTGATAGTCTTTTACCTCCCAAAATAGATTTACTGCATTGCTGATAGAAAGATGCTCACAGCAACTACGACGCACAAGTAAAATGAAAAATGCCATAGGTATGGTTACAATTACATTGAGAAGGCATACGATAATCCACCATTTACTTTCATCTACATTACCCCTTGTAAGAAAAAACTGGTAAGAGCATATTCAACTAAAATTTCAGTAGCATGAACATCTACTAAGACAATCTCTAGGGGTGAAGATCATCATACCCACAGATGGAAAATAAGTCGATTATCTCCCAAAAAATACCACCAGTAAAATTAGAAACACCATTAATTATATAAAAAACAATTGATTAGAGCCTTCAAGATATAATTCTAAAGCTAACAATACAATATATTGACACAGTGCCAGCACCTGTATTGATGAGAAGGTTTGGAAACATAAAATTATAAGTTATCATCAACAACAAAGACAAACAAGCTTTAATATTCCATGCCTTGTAAACAAGTACAAACATGTGAATAATAAAATAATAAGCTCGTGCACGTTATGGCTCTATCCTATCTCTAAAAAATGAAACTAAAATTATTTTTAGCATAAATAAAAGGACAAACATGTGCTTCAAAAATCAACTCTCCAACCAAATGCAAGCGGTGTAGGAAAACTAATAATGTAGAAAAATTAAGTAAAGCAAGAAGTACGAATAATATGGAATTAAAGAACCTTGCAGAGGACAAAATATGGCACTGCTGAAACTGCATAAGCCTCTGAAATTTCTGGCTGCTCTTCTGCTTCAACCTGAAAATTAAGTAATAACTAAATATAATATCATGTGCAAAATTAAAATTACACATTACTCCAATATTTTCACATAATAAACATGAGAAAAAAGAAAAAGAATAACTCCCCACAGTTCATACATGCACATCTTTCGCCTTCACTGAAACAATAGCCATGTAGTAAAAAAAAAGGGACCATCATCTGAACTAAAATGGTTAAAGAAAGGGCCAATATGGCTGAAACCATATTTTTCATGTGGTTTGGTTGATAACTTAAAGAAGCTAATTCAATAGCACTTACAGCTAGTTTTTCCCATGAGTAATACTCAGATAGAGGAATGTGGGCATAAGACAACGTTTAAGAGCAAGGACAACAAGGTGAGGTGACAATACGACATGGTAAGAGTTTCGAGAGAAGCAGTGGGGCCATATGAGATTATGATAGATTGTTAATGGTGAAGAAGCAGGGAGGAGGATGGAGGTGACGTGAGGGTGTTTGGCAAAGCTTATCTTTTGGTGAAAGTAGCTTTTAAGCTAGCCTTTTCATATCTAATTGTTCGGTATCATCGCAATAAGCTAGCTTCTAAGTCTCGTTACAAAAATTAGGATTTCACAACTTTTGAAAAACTAGCTTATAAGCTCACCTAAATAAGCTAGATTTGACCAAGTAAATGACCATTCTACCCAAAAACCATCAAAAGCTTAATAAGCTAAAAGGCAGCAGAAGCTAACATAGCTTAAAAGCTTTTGCAAAATAAGCCTCTCCAAACACCCTCATTCTCTTCTCACACAAAATGTAGCTCTCTTCATTTTTTATTTTTTTGTTGCCACTTGCCAACTAATTTTGCCATGATGTTTTGTGTTTTGGAGAACTTGATGTGTGTGCCTGGGCGATGTTAAATAGTTAATTCAATTATTCTCACTGTTCTGCTTAATGAAACAGGGAAGAAACCTCCCACATCTTCCTTCTAGATTGTAGTTTGTGAATATATCTTAAACACACACATAATCAAGCGGAACAAGCTCCACTATCATACCTAATAAACTTGGGCACATTGTAAAACTAAGATTCAGGGATAACTTCTATAACATTTTGAAGTGTGATAACCCCAGTCAATGATTGAATAATCCACTAGATTTGTAACAAAAAAAAATGGTGCATCAACAGCTAGCTTCCTTAGCACATAACAAATAGATTGTGTCGCGTTATAGAATCCCTATGTTACTTCACTGACTAATCTAGGGCAGGAAAGGGTACGAAGCCAGACCTATATTGTCCAATGATATTGGGTTACTAACAATTTTTGCTCACTAACTTGAGGTCGAAATCATGTCAAAGGCTCCACTGGTTTTTACAGTGAATTATTATAGGCAATTAATAATCACACTCCCCATTGGCATGCCTTTTTATAACTTGAAAACAAAAATAGGTACTAGCCCTAATCAGTGACAAAACGTATAATTGATTTTTACAAGTATTTGGAGCTAAGCTATAGACTTAAAAAGTTAAATATTCAATGAAAATCAGATTGAAAATTGTAATCTTTAGTCTGAAAATTTGCTAGGAATATGATAACATCAGGGTTCTACATCAAATTGACACAAAGGTATCAACTTTATCAAAGACATCTCAACAAAACCCTCGGCTACCAATAAAAAATCTACTAAAGATTCGGATCGAACCCTAAAGAAGAGAGCGTGAGGGAAATCGGTGGAGAGATGGGAGAAGACTTGATCCATCTGCTTCGAGGCCTCGCACCACGACGCCCAGAAGTGGAGGACGACCGGCGACGATCCATTGAGAGCTTCGTCGAGCTCCTGCTTCGATTTCAAGTCCTTAACGCTTCCCATCGTCTTCTTTCTCTTTGTTAATTCTACTCTTTTTTCTCAGAGAATTAAGAGGGACGAAAGGGTCTAAAGAGAAAGATGCGGCCTTGAGAGCTGCTGCTCTTTATTTGCTGCTCTCTAGCTTTTTCTTTCTCTCTGGGCTCGGGTTTGGGTTTTCTGGGTAAACTTTACATATAGCCCTGTATCATTTCCCAAAATTTAACCTAAACCCCTGAACTTCGAAAATGTCACTTAACCCCCAACGTTTGCAATTGCTACAACATACCTCCGAATGGCGTAACCCCTAATTTTCTCAACATATCCATGTAACTTTTGTCATTTTTTTTTTCAGAAAACTCCCCCAAATCTTCAACATTATTTTTAGGAAACTCAAGCTTCCACCATTATTTCCAAAGAGCGCCCATGAAAATTTGATAAGAGCAAGTGCAACAATCTCCTAGTAGGGAGCTCTTGTTGGAGTGCTCTCAAACATGGTGCCCACTTAGGAGCTTCATACTAGAAAAAATATTCCAACAAACTCCCAACTAGGAGCATAAATATTATTTAAAAAATCTATTCTTCTACCTCTAACATTTTATAAATATTTTTTAAAACAACAAATCTAATTAAAAAATATTTTTAGTGGGCCCACACCCCTTAGGAGCTCCCAAGTGCTCCACAAATTTGTGGAGCTTTTAGGAGCTCCATGGTGGGCCCCACCGCCAACTAGGACTTGAGAGCTGTGGAGAAGAACTTGAAAAAAGCAGATTTTTGGTCATAAGTCGACTCATGCACAGGCATAAGTCGACTTATGGTAAGTCGACTTATGTTTGTGTCGTAAGTCGACTTACGATCTGCTGTGGATTGTTGATTTTGGGCTCTGGCAAGTCGACTTATCAGGTCTGATAAGTCGACTTATGAACTCTTCTCCAGTTGTCGTTTTTCGCTTTGCCAAGTCGACTTATGCAGACTGATAAGTCGACTTACGACGGGTTTTTTGGAAAGTTCAGGTTCCTATTTGCAGTCTGTTTGGGTTTCTGTTTTGGTATAAATACCAATACGATTTGAGGGTTTTGTAGGAGCATATTTGAGGATTTTGGAGCACAGAAAAGAGAGATCTTTCTGAGCTATTGGTTAGGGTTATTGGTTGAGAGGTTGAGAGATTTGTTGGTGAGATTAGTTGGTTCGTTTGAGCGATTTGTAATCTCAATTTGTACTCTCCTTCTCTATTAGTGGAAACCCTCCCCCTTCTTGCCCCGTGGACGTAGGTAATTGCTGAACCACGTTAAAATTGGTGTTTGGGTTTGTGCATTGATATTTGATTGTTTTTGGCCTTCTTTGATCGGCGTTTGTTTTGGTTCCTCGGCGCCGCCGTCTGTCACAACAAGTGGTATCAGAGCATATCGCTGTTGTTCGGCACTTCAAGAGCTTCCTTGGGAGCTTGTTGGAAGGTCTTGGGAGATTTTTCTTGCCACATAGGACTCAGGAGCCTTCTTGGGAGGCTACTGCACTTGCTCTAAAGTTTCGGAAAACTCCCATTACACCGTAAAGGGGCAATGATGAGAAAGATGCAGACATTCGAGTGGTTGTGAATGAGTGGGTGGTGGGCCAGACCCACGTGAACTTAACCTTCCCATGCATTTCTTTAACGCGGTTTTACGTGGACGAATTTTGATTTTAACCGCTGGCCCAAGTTCGTTTTAGCCACAAGCATGCAGGATTCTCCGGTTATATAAAGGAACAAATACTGTTCCTAGGGTTTTGTGCGAAGGAGGTGTGCAACGATTTGGTTTTTGCGGCTGGAGAAATCTCTTTGTGTGCGGCTATGCAAAAGAAAAGGCAGAGGCCTATTTCTTTGGTTTTTGTACATCCTTTTGTAGAGAGATATTGTGAGGGATTTGAGAGTTTGTTTGAGGGTTTAGATTGAGAGTGATTGTAAACCCTAGTTGTATTCTCTCCCTCTATTAGTGGATCTCCCCTCTCCTTGCCCCGTGGACGTAGGCAATTTGCCGAACCACATACAAATTGGTTGTACTGCTTTTGTGTGAGATCTAGGGTGTTTTGTAGTTTGGTGGAGGAAGATTTTTTGTGTGAAGCTTGGTTCTTGGAGTTCTCGGCTTCGGTGGAGATAGCATTAGGAGTTGCCGTTTGAGATTTCGCTTTCCTCGTGTGGTTAGGAAATCTATTTGGAATCCACTCTAGGGTTCAGTTGGGTGGTTCCTAATTTCTATCAAATTTGTTCTTTCTCTACAATTTGGAGTTAGTTCGCAATGGGAGAAGAAGGTGAAAGCAGCAAATCGATGGCGAGTACAATACAAGTTGGTTTTCAGAACACTAAGATTAGTGTGGTGAAGTATGGTGGCAAAATCAACTTTGGTTTGTGGATGAGCGACGTACAGGATGCGCTCAATGCTCAGAATTTGGAAGAGACCATCATGGTCCATGAGAGGCCACCTAAATATGATGAGGCGATATGGAAGAAAATGAATAGGAACGCGTGTGGGGTGATCAGGTCTTGTTTGGAACAGGAACTGAAATATGATGTGATTAGGGTGACGTATGCAATGAAGATGTGGGAAATTCTCAACAACAAGTATCTCACGAAGAGTGTTGAGAACAGGTTGTACTTGCTGCGAAGACTCTTCAGATTTCAGATGTCCAGAGGCACCTCGCTAGCGGCTCATGTGAACAACTACACTAAGTTGTTGTCGGACTTGGCGAATGTTGATGAGAAGATATCGGATGAGTACAAGGCGATTATTTTGTTGGGCTCCTTACCGGATGAGGAGTATGATACATTCGTGCTCACTTTGTTGAACGGGAGATCTTCTATCAGCTATAGTGAAGTGACTAACGCTTTAACCAATTATGATTTGAGGAGGAAGGACAAGGAGACTTCCCGTGCTAGCACTTCAGGCGAGGCCTTGTCGACGAGAGGGAGAAGCCCATATCTGAAAGGTGGTAATAGAGGAAGGTCAAAGTTTAGAGGCCGCCACCAATTAGCAAAGAACCAATGTGCATTCTGCAAGGAGCAGGGACATTGGAAGATAGACTGCCCGAAGCTCAAGGAGAAAGAGAATGGTAAGAAAAATGGCCCAAAGGCTAATGAGGTGAATATTGCGAAAGGCGATGATTCCGATGATTCGTGCTTTTCTCTACTGATTACTCCGGAGGTGAACCATGTGGATGCATCAGATTGGATGCTTAATTCTGGCGCTACTTTTCATGTGACCCCTAGGCGAGACTGGTTTGCATCTTTTGAGAAAGTCGACGGGGGCGTTGTTGTCATGGGAAATGATCAATCCTGTGGTGTTTGTGGGATAAGTACCGTACAGATTAGGATGCATGATGGAGTAGTCCGTGAGTTGAAGGAGGTGAGATTTGTTCCTCAACTGAAGAAAAATCTTATCTCAGTTGGAGCTTTGGAGGAGAAGGGATTCAATGTGACTTTCAAAAACGCTGTAGCGAAGGTTACTAAGGGATCATTGGTTGTGATGAGGGGAGTCCGAAATCGAAATTTGTATTATCTGAAGGGAAGCACCGAGATTGGCCAGGTTGCTTAGGCTATTTCAGAAGCGGACATGAGCAGACTTTGGCACTATAGGTTGGGGCACACAGGTGAAAAGTCACTACAAGCATTGTGCAAGCAGGGGCTATTGAAGGGAGCCAAGAGTGGGAAGATTGAGTTCTGTGAGAACTGTGTTCTTGGCAAGAAGACAAAGGTGAAGTTCGGGATTGCCATTCATCAGACGAGGGGTATCCTGGACTATGTGCACACAGACGTTTGGGGTCCCACCAAGACTGCATCACTTGGTGGTCGACATTAGTTCGTCACTTTTATAGATGACTATTCTAGGCGTTGTTGGGTGTACACCATGACGAAGAAGAGTGAAGTCCTAGATTTGTTTGTGGAGTGGAAGAAGAGATTGGAACTACAGACTGGGAGAAAGATCAAGACGTTGCGATCCGACAACGGTGGTGAGTATACTTCTGACCCCTTTCAGCAGCTATGTCGAGACGAGGGCATAGAGAGACACTTCACAGTTAGTCATACACCGCAGCAAAATGGGGTGGCAGAGAGGTTGAATCGGTCTTTACTGGAGAAGATCCGATGCTTATTGTCGCAGAGTGGTTTGGAGAAGATCTTTTGGGCTGAGGCACTTACATATGCGAGCCACCTCATTAATAGGCTGCCTTCATCTGCGATTGAGGGGAAAACCCCTATGGAGATGTGGTCGGGAAAGCCAGCACATGACTATGACCAGCTCAACATGTAGGTGTCGACTGAGGTGACGCCAGGCGAGCACGACGGTGACACGGAGGATACGAGTACAAATGTGCAGGATCAGGAACCGACGGCTCAGGTTCAGGATTCAATTGCGGTTTGGAGACAGAGGAGAAACATACAGATGCCAACACGGTATGCCGACTGTAATGACCCTGATTTTTGATTTTTGATTTAAATAAAATTTTCTAGTATTTAAAATATTATATTAAAATATTATATTATACTTTTCATAATTTCTGGAATTTTTTGAGTTTTCAAAATAAATAAATAATAAAATATATAGTCTTGTATTTTTAATTCTGCTAAATAATAATTTACGGTTTAGTGATTTTTATATATGATCATTTGGTGATTAAGATTATTAATGACCTTGTTATTATTGATGTAAACTTGAGTATAGTACAGTAGCATATAAATATTAATAAAAAGATTTTTGGTTGATTATTAATTATTAATATATTTCAGAATATTAGGTGAGATTTTTGAATTTTCCCTCTCTTATTTTTCTCATTTGAATTATTTCCTAATCCCTCCCAAATCAATTTCTAAGCAACTCTTAAACTCATTCCTTTTTAATTCCGAAACTTTCTCTCTCTCCATATATTTTGTCAACCTTCCCCGTATCAAATCCTATCATATTTTATGCACAAAATCCTTGCTATGTCTCAAATCTCAAATTTTCCTCATAATCAAATCTTTTCTCTCTCTCTCAATCACAACAAAACTTATCATACCCGTACTCCCCTATCAAATATATACCTATAATATTAACCTACAACCTACCTCATCTCCTACCCTCTTTTCTTGTGTGAACCAGCCTCCAAGAAAACCCTCTTCTTCTTCTTCTTCCTCAA